CGGTCAAATGCATAGAGACAGAAAGCAGAATGGTGGTTTACGGGGCAGGGGGAGGGGAGTGCGGAGTTACCGTTTAATGGGTACAGTCAGAATTTCAGTTGGGGAAGCTGAAAAAGTCTGGAGATGGAGGGTGGTGATGGTTGTACAACACTGAATGTACTAATATCACTGAACTGTATACTTAAAAATGGTTAAAATGGTAAATTTTGTTAGGTATATTTTATCACAATTTTTTATGTTATTATTATTTTTTATCACAATTTTTTAAAATGAAGCAAAGTAGGGGGAGGAAATAAACTGAGGTAAGCAAAATGAGTAGGATGAGGAACTTTTTCTGACTTTTGGAGTCAGAATGAAGAATGTTATAGGATTTTGACTTTTTGTTTCTTCTTGCTACTTAAACTACAATGACACCCTCGTCCCATCCCTCATTTCCCCTGGGAATAACGAATGATACAGGAAAAGGGTCTTCAGCTCCAGCTACAAAAAGGGCAACAGGAATAATCTCACCTCATTCCAAACAGGGTTCTTTTCTCTTCAGTTACCTCTCTCCTCTTGCCTCTCTAAATGGGACGGCCGATCTGACTGGAGACAGTAGCATTTTCACGGATGTATAATAAGGGCTCAATAAAGAACACTTCTGAAAATTAACATTTACAAAAAATGCTTTTCATGAAGAAGCTTCTTTTTACCTATTCAATGACAGCCTACTAAGAGGGGACAGGGGCCCTCCTGAAATGTAGGAGTTCCCTGGGCTGTCCTTGTACATCCGCACTGCAAAATAGGCAAAGGGTGACTGTGGTGTTTCAATGGGGTGTCTGTCGATCGGATGGGGGCCCCAAATGTGGAGCAATGATCCTGTGGAAGCCAACAGCACAGGAGGTGAAAGAATTCACCTGAGGCAGAACAAAGGAGATAGAAGTTTATTGTATACACCACAAGGGAGCAGCGGGCAGGACAGCAGTGAGGCAGCAGGTGGGGGTGGCTTTTATTTTTTTTTTAAGATTTTATTTATTTATCTGAGAGAGAGAGAGATAGAGCACAAGCAGGGGGAGCAGCAGAGGGAGAGGGAGAAGCAGACTCCCTGCTGAGCAGGGAGCACAACGTGGGGCTCGATCCCAAGACCCTGAGATCATGACCTGAGCCAAAAGCAGATGCTTAAGGGACTGAGCCACCCAGAGGCCCCTGGGGGCTGCTTTTAAAGGGGGAAGGTGAGGAGTCTGGATATTCCCTTTTTGGTAACTGGTTATAAGTAGCCCATTGGTTAGTTAGGGCCTATGGTGGGTCACCTGCTGGGCCGGGCTGTCTTCAGCCAGGGGGTAACTCTGGGCCCTTTCCATTGCTCAAGGCTGTTTGCCTAAAAGTGGCCTCTACGGTGACAGAATAATATTTTGAGATTACATTATATTTCCCCCCAGTGTTTTTTCTTGTTCTGTTCCCTTATTCAAGCAGGGAACAGTGTGTTCCTCGCTGAATGAGGGCAATACATGGCGGAATACGATAAAGCAGTCCTTAGAAGGAGAAAGCCTATAGCCAGCAAGCTGAATCAGGACTGCAGGGAAACTAGGCTTGGCCCTTCAACAATACTGATCTGCACAGTGTTTTCTGAAATTTAAATTTGGGTAGCTTCTGGGTTACATAACAATCTGGGTTTCTGGTTTTTCCTTATAAATGGGAAGACAGCTCAAGCAACCTTGTTTGCCTGTTTGGCAACAGCAGTTGGATCTCAGCTGCAGCTGTTGCATTGAGAATGGTGTTTTCATTAGGATACCATGAGCTGCTGAAACAAAATCAGATTTCTGTGGCATAACCCAAAAGAAGATAATTTCATACCTGTGAATAACAAGCCTAGAGTCAGTGATACAGAGACTCGAGATCCTTCCTTCCCCAGAGTCAGTGATACAGAGATTCAAGATCCTTCCTTCCTGCGTCTCCACCATCCCCAGGGCCTTGGAGTCTTTGACTTCAGCCTGTAGAATGGGAAAAAGAAGTGGAGAAGCACACTGCGAGCGTCTCAACCACTTTGGTCTCAAAGGGACATCCTCTGCGCCATTCCACTGATGGGATCCAGTCACGTGATCTGCCTAGATGCAGGGGAGCTGGGAGATGTGGAGCCTGGTGGGGCAGCCACTTCCTGGCAATGACTCTGTTCCATGGGATGGAAGCACGGATGTGTGGCGGGCTTCTGCAACTCCCCCACAAATGGGTGCGGTCCAATTCAGCACAATCTCACCACCACCTTTCTGTTCCTGAGTGGCCCAGGAAACATTGAACTTTGTGGCCCAGGGAACATTGAAATTCATGGCCCAGGCTTAAGGTATTTGTGCACAGAGTGGGAGGGAGAAACAGAAAGAAGTGGATTCTCTCTAGAATGAAAAAGAGACTCCCTCGGGCTGGGAGGAAGAGAGATAGAGGCAGAGGTCAGCAAGTCTGTAGAGAGCAAAATGGAGTCTCTCATGTCAAGCAGGAGCCTGTGCTCAGCAAAGACGCAAGCAGTTAAGGTAGTGCAGCCAGGAGATATAGCCAATGTCAGGTGACACCCCAGAACTGATAATGAGCAGAACCAGAGGAGGTCTGCGGGGCCTGAGACGGACTAAATCCCTTGAAAAAGGGGAGGATTTGGGCAGCAAACTGTCAGACTCTTCAGACCTGACCACTTAAAAAAGGCAACTGTCCCCGAAGGCTCTGCCCAGTGGATCTCCGAACAGAACCGAGATCCTTCCCTGCTTGAGCATCAGAAGCAGTAAGTGCCAAGCGCTGACCTGGGCCAGACAGAGGCCTTATCTCAACTGCACGCCCACAGACTGACTTCGCATTTGGTTCCTGCACCCCTCTGCTACCTCATTTGTTGCACGGTTTGTCTTCTGTCCTGCTTTGTGTGCTGTGTAAGGAGCCAAGTTCAATCACATGGGGAATTGTCACTGAGTTTGGAATCCTGAACCCACTTTCTCATTGAGATTTAACTTTGCTTTATGATTGAATAAAGCTGATGTTGTGGGAAGACACAAGTCGTGTGTGCGCCTTCGTAGCGAGCAGGCTCATGACGAAGTCCCTGAGTAGAGGGTCTGTGCGCCTCAGACCCTCTGTATCATCATCTGTAATATGGGATGATAGCCACCCCCACCCCCACCCAAATTTCCTGTGTCCCTTTGATGAGGGAAACAAAGGCAAGAGAAACATAGCTTAAATTAAATCTCCTTACAGGTGACAGGCCACTGATGGATACCTGAGACGTTCAGAGCCTGACCTTCCTCAAGGACCTCACGGCTGCCTTTAGTGCCTTAATGTTTATGTTTTATTTATTTATTTTTTATTTATTTATTTTTAAAGATTTTATTTATTTATTTCAGAGAGAGAGAATGAGAGAGAGCACATGAGAGGGGGGAGGGGCAGAGGGAGAAGCAGACTCCCTGCCAAGCAGGGAGCCCGATGCGGGACTCGATCCCGGGACTCCAGGATCATGACCCGAGCCGAAGGCAGTCGCTCAACCAACTGAGCCACCCAGGCGCCCATGTTTATGTTTTATTAAAGACTAAAAATAACCTTATCTCAATGGCAGCTAGCCCCTCAAGGTCCTGAAAGCCTTGTTTACAAATTCCTTGGAGACTTACACTATCCCTAAACCCCACTAATGAAAAAGCATATAATCTCCTCACAATCCCAGTACAGCTCTTTCTACCCATGGGTTCTGTCTCTGTGCTATAATACAATCACCTTTTTGCACCAAAAACATCTCAAGAATTCTTTCTTTGCTCACGTCTTCCTTCACTCATGAACCCAAAAACTTCCAAATTTCATCACCTTGTGGGATATAGCAGTGGTAGAGAGCTAATTGGCTGAAGCAGCCATATAAACCTGGATAGTGGACACAACTCAGCCACATTTTCTGGGGCTGGAGGACCAATGGACCAAGAGGGAAGTGCTTCCCTCTTCATCCCACACCCTAGGACCATGTAAATCCCTGTGGTTAGGGACTCCAGGAAGGAGGAAGGCCAGCTTCCCGGCTCTGCCAGGGGAGTAGCTGCTAGGGGTCTACAGATAGGTCATTACATAAAATAATGGATACGTGACAATTCTTGCACATCTTAGTTTATGGACTGAGATTCATATCGCTGGCCCCGCGCCTGGCCTGGCTCTGGGCCTCTCCCTTGGCTTGCGCTGCAGACTGGCTCCGGCCTCTCCCCAAGCTTGCGCTGAGTCCCTAGGGATATCGCATTGCAGTTAATATCTCCTCACGTTTCTAAACTCACAGCTTGTCAGCGCCGGCGCAAACTGACAGCTAAAGCCAGGTTCTAGCTCGCTCTTTTCACAGGAGAAAATGGAGAATCAACAACTTGCAACGACTTGCCTGGGGGGCACCCAGGTTTCCCAGGCTAGGGCTCCTCCCAGAGTCCTTCTCCCCCTCCATCCTTTCATCCTGCAGGAACTCCTAGGCTTTATGCACGTGCAGAGAACCTCATTCCCCACCCACCCACTTCCGGTCCAGCCTTCACCCTGCAGTTCCTTTCTTGGGAACCCTGCCTCTCCACTGGAGTATGTGGGGTCCGCGGAGAAAAGTTTGGTGAATCAGTAACTGCTGGTTCTGAAATATGCATCAGAACCCAGACCAGGGGCATGGTGAAGGAAAGGTGGTTGGACTGGGGAGCGATTTGCTCCACATCTTCTGGTGCAACCAAGAGAGAGGGGCTGGGCTCCGGGTTGGAGGACGGGAACGGGCCTGATCCAGGGTGCAGAAGCACTAATGCACGTTGGCAGGGGCAGCCTTTTCCCCGCCGCCCACGATCCTAGGGCGGGCACTCTGCCGAGCCGGGTGGCTGGTGCAATCTCCCGCGCGCCTTGCATTGATTAGAAAAGAGTTGAAACAGTAAACGAGAGGAGGAGCAACTGCTCCTGGGCCTAGGCTGTTGAGCACGACCAATGGGGATGAGAGCCCCGTAGCGCGAACCAATTAGCGCAGGGTCTGCGACAGCGCGGGCCAATGGTGGCGCCGGCTGGGCGCTGGAAGAAGGCAGATGGTCTGCGCCGGCAGCAGACTCGCGCCGCGCACGCCTCTCCCCGTTGTCCCCGTCGCCTGCGCTGCTGCACCATGAGCGCCCCGAGGCAAGTGGTCAACTTCGGGCCCGGGCCTGCCAAACTGCCGCGCTCGGTAAGTCCCCACGAGCGCGCGCCGGGAGTGCGGTCCGAGCGGGAGCCCGCGCGCGGGTGGCTGTCCATCTCTGCGCCGGGCGCTGGGATCCCCTCTCCCTGCCCGGGAGCCCTCCGAACGCTCCGCACCAGCGTGCACGCCCAGTTCGGGATCCTTCGCTGGTGGGCTTCTGGAAGAATGCACTTGGGGGAAGGAAGCTCGCCAACGTGCTTGTGCAGCTGCCCCTGGCGCCGACTGCCCGTGAGCGGCTTGCACAACTTGGCTCGCCGGCGCAGCGCACCTGCAGACTGTGCCTTCTCCTGGGCTGGGCCCGGGACGCGGCGAAAAGCTCTCATCTCTGGGTTCGCCTTGCCGGGCATTGCTGCGAGCCAGGCAGTGTTGAGTGGATCCGTGAATGGGCACTGAATGAATGGTGAATGGGGATCTCTTTAAACTAGAGGGGATTGCAAACTGGAGTCCCGCGCCTGACCCCTCGTAAGGAGTGTTTGGTTTAGCCAGCACTTGGGAACATTGCTTTTCAGAAATGTAAATTTGAAGGCCTGCAGTCCTGGCTTTCCTTCCTTGTTTCCCAAGAGAACCTTCCCTTCCCCCGCTTTTTTCAGCTCGGTTTCACTCGTAGATTTTTTTTTTTTTTTAAATTTTAACTGGCTTGACTTCTAAAGGCATGCGAGTATTCAAATTCTGGTAGGCAGTGGGCTGCCGGCCCAGTTCGCTTCACTTCGTTTTGGAGGAAATGGAATGATTGAATTCTCCCTGGGGCCACAACCAGACTTTTCAAGTGCAAGTGGAACTCACTCCCTGCCTTCCTAGGCCCCAAGCCAGGTTTCAGCTCCTCCCCCCAACGCCCATTCTCCTTCCCACATCATCTCAACCCCCGCCCCCCCAACTGTGAAGAAGGCACGTTTGTGATGTGCCTTGATTGACAAGCTGCTATCACTGCTGTTACATTTTTATTTTTCTAACCACAATGACTCTGATACTATGTTGTAGCAACATGGAGCCTAGCCAAGTGCTTTACAATGATCTCTTGTTGAACAGAGTAGAAATCTCCCTGGGATAAAGCCTCCTCTGTGTTGTAAGAACAAGAGAATCTTACAGTTTCAGAAGGGAAAGGACTTCGTGCTTCCCTAGGGGCAGGGCTCATAGTGGCTGAAAGAACAACGCTTGGTTTTCCCCACTTACTGCAGTCTGTTTTAGGCGAGATTCCTTCCCTGCTTAGAGCTGTGCAAACGTTTCTTGTACCCTCCTCACCTTTGTCCCGTCTCCGTGGTTTGGAGCCTTCTGAGTATTTGTTCCCTGTGCAATTTCTTTCTTTCTTTCTTTTTTTTAAAGTACTCTCTCCCCTGTGGGGCTCGAACTCAGGACCCGGAGATGAAGAATCTCAGCTGAGCCAGCCACGTGCCCATCCCAGTGCCATTTCTTATGCATTTATTATCATGGCAGTTATCATTAGTAATACAATTATTTGTTATTTTCTTGGGAGGATTTCTGTCCTCAGATGCCCTCTCTGAGGGGGGATGGGGGTGGGAGGAAGTGGGAGATGTTGCTTTTTATGAGTTTTGATTTAATTTTATTGTAAGGATTAGAGAAGCTTTTTAAACTTTATTGTTGACTGTGACCACAATGAAAAATATATTTTACAAAATGACAAAGTATATGCATATAATTATAATTAAAGCCTTGTGAAGTATTTAGCCTAAATCACTATGACATACATACTTTTGTACTCTATTCCGCTATTCCGCTCGTCTGTTCTATTTCATTTAAAAAATGTGACCCACAAGATTGCATTCTGCAGTTTGAAAAAAACTCCACTGGAGTAGAGAGGCATGCTTTTTGAGTAGAAGTCTTTAAAACTCTTTGTAATGATTTGGATCATAAACACATTTCAGGGGATACTGTCTGTAAGAGAAATCCCATCTTAAACGGGAGTTCAAAGATGATTTTATTATCTGTTTGTGTTCACTAAAGAAAGGATTCATTAAGTGTGTTTTTAATCAGCCAGTGCTAATAATCATTCAGTAGTTTGCAAAACCAGTGACCGATACTTTTATTTATTTATTTTTTTAAGTAATCTCTACCCGGCTTGAACTCACTACCCCAAGATCAAGAGTCACATGCTCCACGGACTGAGCCATCCAGGCGCCCCATCAAGACAAATTCTTTTTTTTTTAATTTTATTTTTTAATTTTTTTTAATTCTTATGTTAATCCCCATACA